CTACCCCAGCATGGAGAAGACTCTCGGTAACTTCCACCTTAAGATCGATGCTGGAAGTTTCACCGACTCTGAGATTATCGTCATGATGGGTGAGAACGGAACCGGAAAGACCACTTTCTGTAAGATGCTTGCTGGTGCTGAGAAGCCTGACGGTGGCAAGAGCGTTCCTCGCCTGAACATCTCCATGAAGCCTCAGAAGATCACCCCCAAGTTCCAGGGTACCGTCCGTCAGCTCTTCTTCAAGCGTATCAAGGCTGCGTTCCTGTCGCCCCAGTTCCAGACTGATGTCTACAAGCCCCTCAAGATTGATGACTTCATTGACCAGGAAGTCCAGAACCTGTCTGGTGGTGAATTGCAGCGTGTTGCCATTGTCCTGGCTCTGGGAATTCCCGCCGATATCTACCTCATTGACGAGCCCAGTGCTTACCTGGACTCCGAGCAGCGTATTGTGGCCTCCAGGGTCATCAAGCGTTTCATCATGCACACCAAGAAGACTGCATTCATCGTCGAGCACGATTTCATCATGGCCACTTATCTCGCCGATCGTGTCATCGTCTTCGACGGTCAGCCCTCCATCGATGCTCACGCCAACGCCCCTGAGTCGCTGGTCACTGGTTGCAACACTTTCTTGAAGAACCTGGATGTCACCTTCCGTCGTGACCCCAACAGTTACCGCCCTCGTATCAACAAGTACCAGTCCCAGATGGACCAGGAGCAGAAGTTGGCCGGCAACTACGTAAGTCTACAATCTTCTCACCTCAGCACTGGCATAGTTCAGCCGTGGTGGTATCTTCTTTTTCTCATTAGAAACATAATACTGACTTGCATTCTTCACAGTTCTTCTTGGAAGAAGAGAAATGAAGAGGTTGTTCCGGGCAAGTATGACCGCGTGCCTCACCGACGTGACGGCCGCGACTCGGACCAGCGGCGTCGCTATCGTCGCTGGGGCTACCTTCGGGTAGTGGCGTTTTTCGGCGTTACAAAGGCCTCTGCAGCTCAGAGAAGGCGGCGCCGCTGCCGTGGCGTGCGCCTTCCTGATGATGTGGATGGTGCTTTGGAGGAGGATGACGAAGAGGGAGCGGACGAACTTGTTCGGCTAGGTAGGAGCAGTGGTTTAACCTGTTCCAGTTAATCCTCTCTGGCCCCCCCTTGTCGTCGCTCATGGTCGTCCCTCCCCAGCGCCATCCACGCCTGCATAGTTCAATCTAGTCCTCTTCACGATGGTTCGGAGTGAAGACACAACGAGACTAGTCTATTAGATTATGTTTGGGTATACGGATTTCCTGGATGGCGCAGTCATGTCGGAGTTACAATGTTTATCAAAAGAGTTCAAGGTTATTCGCGACATGGATGGTCCGCCGACAAAAAAGGGTGTCGGTGAGGGAAAAAAAGATTAGCTGGTTATGGTCAAACTAGGTGGCCACTGTCCAAAAGATTTCTTTTTTATTTGAACATATTTCATTACGCTAGTCATTCACTTCGTATATATCACTTGCTTTTCTTTATCTCTAAGCATGGTAAAATCTTTATGGACAGGATATTGAACTCTACATAAGTAGCTTGTGTACGCCTACGGAGCAGATTCCCTCCGAAAATGTCCGTCTCCACCGGATGTCATACTCCTCCCGCCCGATGATAGCGGTAAGGTATCATCGCCCAGTAAGGAATCGACCTCCCGCATTTTGTTCGCTGGATCACATGAACAAATATCAGGAATTACTCTTAAATGATACAAACGAGGCATTTCTTCCCAAACATCACTGTATATGACGTGCTGTGATGTGTATCAGTGGGTTCAATTGTGGTTGTCCTACTAGTAGTAGTAGTAATAGTATGACATGATGGTGATAGACTACTATATATATTTTGAGTACTCCAAGCACTAGTTCAACTTAACGTTGAACCGTAGAATTGGACGCCACGACTTACTTCGGCTGTATTATTACTAGATATAGCATAGGAAAATGTCATTATAGGTATTGTATTTGTATTTTCACATGTCAAGAAATGCATATATCAATCGTGTGAGCGCTAGACATACAAAGTCGATATACGGGGGCAGCAAAGACGACAGACGCGTCCACCAGAACCCGACACTACAAGTGTAGAGTCAGTCAGCGTCCATTGGCAATTACCTATGAAACGGGTAGTAGTGTGTGCGCATCTACTTAATCTTCTTCAATCTCCCCTTCTTCACTACCGGAGTGGACGGCCTTTTCCTCTTTCTTTCCATCATCGGTTGCCGCTGGAGTCCGCTCGCGACGGTCCCGGTCTCGCCTGGCACCGCGGCTGCGTTCGCGCTCCCGACTATCACGTCGGTACCGCTTCGCAGAGCGACTGGCAACACTTTCCGTGTCGCTGTCGCGTCTGCGCCTACGATCATTGCTTGTGGTGCTTCGGGTATCGGCACCATAATCCAGCTCATCCCGACCTCCACGGGGATCACCGCGTGTGCGATAGAGGCGTTCGCGCTCTTCCTCACGCTCGCGGCGCTCGCGTTCGTAGTGGCTAAGAGGGCGTGCGCTGCGATCCCGGTCCCAGTCACGATCGCGGTCCCTATCCCGCTCACGCTCACGGTAACGTTCCCTGTCTCGATCACGCTCTTCCCGTCTCTCTCGGACGGGCGATAAGCCGCTGGCCTTGCGGTAGGAGCGTTCACGGTCTGCTTGGGCTTTACGGCGATCTGCCTCGTAGGCATCTGGTTCTGGGGTCCGGCTTAGACGGCTAGACGTTCCCCTTCTTTCGCCTCTATAGGATGGCCCGCTGCGATGATCACGATCACGGTCGTGGTGATCACGGCGACTTCCGCGATCCCTATCGCGGGTCTCGCGGTCTCGTTCCGCATCCTCCTCCTTCTCCTTCAGGCGGCGGATGACCTTGTCAAAGGCGGCTTGTCGGAGCTCATCGGTCTCCAGAGACTTGTACTCATCGAATCTTTCGATCCGCGGCTGCACCTGTTCCCAAGTATCAGTTGCACGAACAGGGGGATCGAGACGCTTGATCCGGGAACGCAGTGAATCTATAGCGCGGCGCTGATGACGGTCCGCAGCATGCTTCTCTTCCTCGCTTCGTCGGATAGCCTTCTCCTGGATACGCTGGAAAATCAGTTGGAGTATCTCAGGATCAATGTTGGCCGTGCGGCGATCGCCGGATACAGCAGAGTTGAACTCCTCCAGAGTGGTCTTTGGTGTAACCTCGAAGCGTTTGTCCTGAGTACAGGTTAGTGACAAAAATCAGAAAACCGGGTTTGATCACACTCACATCAAGTACGTCCAAGACATCATTACGCGGGCCACGCAGTGAGCGTTCTTCTTCTTCAACCATATCCCAAAACAAATCCAGGGGAGAAGATCCGGAGTTACCCAGGATACCGACGTACCGAGGATCCTCGTGGATCAAGGGGTAGATGTTCATCCACTTGCTTCCAGCCTTGATCTTACCCTGAGATCTCAGCTCCTTCAGAAGCTCGATAAACTGCTCGCGGGCATGGCGCTCTTTTCTCGCCTTTGCAGCCTTTTGTTGCTGACGCGCATCATTGAAGGCCCGCTCAAGGGACTTGATGTGGTTCTCGAATGCAGTCAAGATATCGGACTTGCTCAGGGTTCTGAACTTGTCGTCGCTTTGGACTTTGTCATTCGACTGAATAATCGCCTGTGCTTCAGACCAGCGTGTGTATGGTTCCAGGTTCAGGGACTTCAAGATAGTCACCAGCTCATCCATGGCAGCTTTACGCTTGACAGCTTCCTCCTCGATGTGCTCCTTCTTGAGCTCAACAATGTACTCCTCGAAGAGCTGGCGCCTCTCGTTTTCATCATCCGTAGATCTAAAGATGGTTTCGCCCTCGATGATCGGTCGGATGGTCTTCCAGCGACTGTAATGTTTAATCTCAGGATGGCGCTTCAGCATGGTATTGAAATCTGCTCTGAGCTTAGCGAATCTTTCTTTCGCCCGATCCTTTTCCTGCATGCGAACCTCGACCGCATATTTTTCAAATGCTGCCTTGCGGTCTCTGGGGTCTTTGAGGGCACGATACTGAGGATCCTTGATGGTTTCACGCATGGTCTGTTCCCAGCTCCAATCGGGTTGCACGTTGTGGCGCTTCAGCATTTTCATGAACGCGTTCTCTGCCTCTTCGAGAGAGCCGTACTCGGGTTCGGCTTGCTGTGTACCTAGGATAGGAGCCGCGGCGATGCCGTTGGTATCCATCGAGCCATATCCTCCACGTCGGTCGCCATAGCCTCGATCATAGTCGTCGCGGTCACGCTGTTGAGGGTAAGAAGAAAACGAGCTAACACCACCTGCAACGAAAGTCGGGGCCCTATGCATAAACACGTTAGTCTCATAAGCGCATTGAGAGGCAAGTTTGGGTATGAAACTTACGCCACCGGAGGAGCCTGAGGCGCCGGAGCCTGTGCCAGAGCAGTCTTGTAAACATCTGGCATCTCCCAAGTGCTTTGCTTGGTTTCGGTGTTGTACCAGTATTTCCGACCACCCTCAGCAGTATATTCCTTCCATGGCTGATTTGCCAGCGCACGCTATATGAACATTGACAATAAATTAGAATCCAGTACAGAAAATATATGGCAATGTCATCAAAAAGGGCAGGAGGACACATACCTCAACCGGCGTCATCAGCTCGATGGGCTTCGACCACTGCGTCGCCTTCGTCTGCACATTGTAGTAGTAAACTCGACCATCAGAGTTACGCGCCTCCTGCCACAGGGAGGGCGCGCCAGCCGGACCATTCATGGGATTCATATCGAAGTTGCAGAAGCTGCCGGGGACAGATACTGCTGTTGCGACGATAAGAGAAGGTCGGGAAAAAGCAGCGTTCGAAGAAGCTCGCCGGGGTTCCTGCGCTAAGGTTGTTTGTCGTGTTTGCACCGTCCCGGGGTATCGAACACCTCCACCCGGCGCGCCTGGGTCCCTGGCTGCTCTTAAATTAAATGCGCATCGAGGGGAATTCCGTCTGTTGCCTTCTTTTGACCTTCCTGGTGTCGGTTGCCTGTGCGCGTGCTATCCTTTTACCCCGTTACGAAAAGAAGAGCATGCGGCTGTTGTTCTCGCCATGCCGAGTCTCGACATCCCCGGGGAATTCCTCAGACATGCTGTTCTAGATACAGTTGTCCCGCATGCTTCAGATGCCGACCTAGAAGCAGCTCTGACGTCTGCTTTAGAAAAAGGCGCAGATGATCTCACTTCTGTGCTTTCGCTAATACCGCAACGCTCTCTTCTGTTCTTCGGTATGCTACGACCTGCTGGCCTGATCGAGCTCTATCTCTTACTCATATGTAGCGTGATACAGATGAGTTCTGCACCGTTCGCGTTGTCCTACGACTATCCAATTGCTCCCCACCTAGCTTGAAACAGTATCTTCCGCACCTCGAAGTCCGACTCGATGCCTTTGCCATTGATCCAGCCGAGACAGTCGCGGAGAATCCGACTCCGACTCGGGACCTCATATTCTCAGGGGTTGTAGATTCACAGGAGCCATTGGTGGTGGTGAATGAGTTTGAGGGAGACACCGGTGGGGGCAACCACGTATATGTGATCTGGAGTGTCAAGGCATTCTTGAGTAAGGTCCCCGTTCATGTTCCGGCACCCTGCCGTGCTGATAAGCTTCAGAGCGTCCTCGCATACGCATTCAACACCCTTCCCTCCTCTTCATCGCCTCCGCTAGCCTCAACCCAGCTGAAACCCGACAGCAAGAGTCTCGGGGAGACGACTACCTCCCGCCTCTGATCCCGGCCTCTACAAACATTCTACAGCCGCTATCGAGTGACAAATCCTTGGATCAAAAAGATCCATTCCTCCCCGCATCTAGGCTTTTGCGAGTTGTACCGGCGAAATACAGCGAAGACCCCATATATAACGTCCAGCAGCATTCCGGCCACCCCATACGCATAGTTCCTGCTGCCAGTGCAAGGATACGCTATTCTCGGTTGAATGCCTATAGCGGGCGGCCTACTACCGTTGCAAGCCTCGATTTTGAGGTGACACCATTCCTCAATTGCGATGTCACATTTGACAAAGCAGAGCTTAGCATGTCGGATGGAACGATAGAGACACTCACAGATGCACCAGGGCTGCTTCCGCCCATCCGCTGCCAGCCGCGAGATGATATCACCCTTGTATACAAGTTAACGCCCGACTATGCGCCTGACCCAAATCCATCAACAACCGTGATGGTCAGTGTCCTGGATATCTCGCTAGAAGCAATCATCCACCTGTCGGACAATTGTAACCCGCGGATCTTGATGCAATGGAGAACCAACGTTGATTTCTCCATGGTTCTCAACCCAACCTTTGGGGGTCCTAGCCAAGCTCTACAACGGAACAACCGCCCTGCAAGTCTTCCGATGACACCCAACCAAAGCAACGCCGCAGCGGGGACCGCCACGCCTAATCGAAGCTCCCTGAGAGAGCGGGCATACTCAACCGCAGGCCTTGGTGTATCGGTTTCGTTCAGTGGCCCTCCACATGTCGAAGTGGGAAAGCCCTTTGCTTGGAGTATCTTCATCGTGAACCGATCCTCCGGTTCGCGCAAATTCTCGATAGTTGCAATCCCTCGCCGGAAGAAGTTGGACCCACGGGGACATACCGTGCGACCATCTTCTTCATCTGCGACGAGCCGCAAAGATGCTCAGGTCGCGGAAGCTGTAACAGATGACAACATCGTTCATGCACTCCAGAAGAGTGTAGTTGGCCAGGAAGCAGAACTCATTTCTCTGAGTACTGACGTTCGGGCTGGGTGAGTAGCTTCACATCTCCTCTTCCATTTACCCTAGCTGATCATATCATAGTCCCCTTTTGCCTGGCACCTGTTTTTCTACGGAATTGAAATTGCTTCCCTTGGCGGTGGGAGCACTTCGTCTGGAAGCTGTACGTCTGGTGGATGTAAATACGAATGAGATGATTGATATTAAGGACCTCCCGGACATCCATTCCTTTGACAGGAAAGGAAAGCCGACCGAGGTGATCAGTTGAGAAGAGGTCTGGATTATCCTTATGATAGATAGCTTGAAGGCTGGCTAGCTACGACGCATGTTTATGGACTCGGCTATCTTTATGATTCAAGGGGTGATGGGATTAGCGGGTGGTGATAAGGAATAGATATTCGTCAAGTCTGATGATGAGTTGCATGTATATCATATCAATAGAGGATTTAATTGTACGTATTAAGCGCTGGATCTCCCCAGACGGTACTAGTAGTAGATAGTCATTATAAGATTTCCCTAAGTAAAAAGGAGAAGGGGGGGGGGGCTATAAAAGCGGCAATGCAGACCCTCCGCCCCAAAAAGCGGCGGGCGGGCGGAGATGGGCGGGTGATCACGCGAGCGGATTGGTTCAAGGGGCGGGGGAGAAGTTCGAACCCCCGGCAAGATGACATGACCTCGATCTTGCATCTTCGCTGCCTCAAGAATACTACCGTTCCTCTTGTTCGTTCTATTTAACGGGGGCTTGAATCGCTGGTCGACCTAAACCCAAATCTAACCTGCTTCTTCTTTTCTTCTTTTGTACACAGTACACCGTACGCCCGTCTCATCGACACCTAACGAGACGATCACTGACGCCCGGGTTTCCAGGAGTCGTCGGGAGGCTTGCTTAGTATTCGCCCTGCTCGCCCTTGTTTCGCCTGTGCGCGCTTTCTGGCAGTCCTTTGCGTCATACTCGCCCCGAGCCCGCCAACCGGGATTTCCAGGCCGTTCGCCTTCGATCCCCTTCCATCTTGCCAATCACTTATCGTCTATCATCGCCCTTCGTCATGTTCTCCACTGGTCGTCGAAGAATACTCGATGGACTCAATCGGAGGTACATCTACGGCCGTCTGGTATGTGAAACTTTTGGTCTCAATTCCATCCTATCTCACCCAAGGGGGGCTTTTTACATTTTTGTCGTAAAAGCAATATTGTCTTACAAATAAATCTTGTCCTATGAGGGAACTCATCACTAATTTCACTCCTTCCAATCTTCTCCTTTTTAGCCATTGCTTCACGCCATAATCTTTCTCATCGAAATGGCGGCTGCAATGCGACTTGCCGCTAAGTTCAACTCTTACTATGCGGAGAAACCAGGTAAGGCTGTCATGCTACTCCCTTGCTAAGGCGCCTTCAGGAGTTGACTGACTTTGTGTCGTCTTTAGTCTTAACCACCATGGTGACCAATGCGGTAAGAGCTCCTTCGAACCAATCATTTGTCGTTGGCATATGATCGACTGACGTTGGACGGCATGTTAGATCCTTGGTGGGATCGCAGACACGGTCGCACAGTTGATCACGGCTTTCAAAGCGCGTGGAGGACGCCGACCCTCTGATGGTAACGATCTCATCTCGATTGAGATCCATGACCTCGATAAAGAGAAGCCGCCTGCTCTTGGAGAGCTGGGACATGCTAGACATTTGGCGCCGGCCTTCGACTTTGAGCGCCTGACTCGCTTCATGTCATACGGTTTCTTCATGGCCCCAGTTCAGTTCCATTGGTTCGGTTTCTTGTCCAGGACGTTCCCCCTTACCAAGAGAAACCCGTCGATTCCCGCTCTCAAGAGAGTGTGCGTGGATCAGCTGATGTTCGCTCCTTTCGGTATGAAGCGTCTCCAGAGGAAGAAGAACACGCTTTCTGTTTGCTAATGACATCACCAGGTCTGGCGTGCTTCTTTTCCTTCATGACGGTCGCCGAGGGAGGAGGAAGGAGAGCATTGACTCGCAAGTTCCAGGACGTTTATCTGCCAACCCTCAAGGCCAACTTTGTCCTGTGGCCCGCTGTTCAGATCCTGAACTTCCGTGTCGTACCTATCCAGTTCCAGATTGTGAGTTCCATTGTGACAGATGTCGTGTGCGCTGTGATACTGATACATATTGATTCAGCCCTTTGTGTCCTCCGTCGGTATCGCCTGGACTGCGTATCTGTCGTTGACCAACTCTTCGGAGGACGAGTAAGGGTAGAAGCGGGCTCATATTTTGGCTCCCACAAGGTTCTCAATCGTTTCTTCCCTCATTTGTCTGTCATTATTTCTTCCCCTGCGTTGTTTTGTGCTTACTGGGCGCTGTAAATGAGCTTTGGGGGTTCTGTTATTCTTCCTCTCATGGGTGGTGTATAGGTCATCTTCGTCCGGCAACGTGGGTACACCGGAGTCAATTGCATTGATCGATAAACCATGTCGACAAAAGGAATACACCAGTGTTTTTTTCGGGATTGAACCAGGCACAAGCTCCAATATCTCCTGTAGGCGGGGTTGTCCCCACGAGAGCGAGCCGGCTTCCATAGACGAGAAATATCGGAACGATTGCTTGATAGATCCACCCCCGGACGCAGCAGAAGCTCCCATCGCAGCCATGATCCGAGGCTAAGGGGCTCCGAACGGGGCATAACAGGCATAATGTTCACCCCTGAGGCCCCGGACCCTTCCGTCATCGATTCACGGTCGCTGACATCAGTCCCGCATCAGCCCGAGGCGCCCGCGATTCTTCTTCTCTCACCGGCTGCCCCACCACCAGCCCATAACCACCACTTTTACCCCGCCGCCGAACCGAATGAAGTCGTAGCTTCCAGTGCCTAGAGTGACCAGACTCGCTCACCGCGGACCTATTAAGTAGGCATTTTTCTTAATCCCCTCGTACCCCGTGGTGCTACTAATACTACGCTGTCCCCCCCCAAAATCTCCCCTTCCCTTCTTTTTGTCACCCCACCTCTCTCTCTCCCATTCTCTGACCCCATCCGACTGTCGTAGAACCGTCGTTCACCATGTCTCTTACCAACAAGCTCGCTATCACCGATGTCGACCTCAAGGACAAGCGTGTCCTGATCCGAGTATGTTGTTGTTGCCCTGGAAACCCCCACCTTTCCATCAATCACCACCGTGGGGTCTAGGTAGCGCTTCAATGCTAATTAGTCGATTCAATGGACAGGTCGACTTCAACGTCCCCCTCAATGACAAGAAGGAGATCACCAACAACCAGCGTATCGTCGGTGCTCTGCCCACCATCAAGTACGCCATCGACAATGGTGCCAAGGCTGTTGTCCTCATGTCCCACCTGGGCCGCCCCGACGGCAAGAAGAACGACAAGTACAGCCTGAAGCCCGTTGTTGCCGAGCTCGAGAAGCTGCTTGGCCGCAGCGTTGTCTTCACCGAGGACTGCGTTGGCCCCGAGGCTGAGGAGGCCGTCAACAAGGCCACTGGTGGCCAGATTGTTCTCCTTGAGAACCTGCGTTTCCATGCCGAGGAGGAGGGCAGCTCCAAGGATGCCGAGGGCAAGAAGGTCAAGGCCGACAAGGAGAAGGTCGCTGAGTTCCGCAAGGGCCTGACTGCTCTTGGTGATGTCTACATCAGTAAGCCATTCTTTTCTCGCGATCCCCTCTCGGGAGGCCAGCAGTAGTTTATGAGCTCGGTACTAACTCCACACCACAGACGACGCTTTCGGCACTGCTCACCGTGCCCACTCTTCCATGGTCGGTGTTGACCTTCCTCAGAAGGCTTCTGGTTTCCTCGTCAAGAAGGAGCTCGAGTACTTCGCCAAGGCTCTCGAGAGCCCCCAGCGCCCCTTCCTTGCCATCCTGGGTGGTGCCAAGGTCTCCGACAAGATCCAGCTGATTGACAACCTGCTCCCCAAGGTCAACAGCCTGATCATCACCGGTGCCATGGCCTTCACTTTCAAGAAGACCCTGGAGGGTGTCAAGATCGGAAACAGTCTCTTCGACGAGGCTGGCAGCAAGATCGTCGGCGAGGTCGTCGAGAAGGCCAAGAAGCACGACGTCAAGATCGTTCTCCCCGTTGACTACGTCACTGCTGACAAGTTCGCTGCTGACGCCAAGACTGGCACTGCCACCGATGCTGAGGGTATTCCCGACGGCTACATGGGTCTGGACGTTGGCGAGAAGAGTGTTGAGCTCTACAAGCAGACCATTGCCGAGGCCAAGACCATCCTCTGGAACGGTCCCCCCGGCGTCTTCGAGCTGGAGCCCTTCGCCAACGGCACCAAGAAGACCCTCGATGCCGTCGTCTCCGCTGCTCAGTCCGGCTCTATCGTCATCATCGGAGGTGGTGACACTGCCACCGTCGCCGCCAAGTACGGCGTCGAGGACAAGCTCAGCCACGTCTCCACCGGTGGTGGTGCCTCTCTGGAGCTCCTTGAGGGCAAGGAGCTGCCCGGTGTTGCTGCCCTGTCGAGTAAGTAAATTTGAACAAGACATATTATCACACTGGATATGCGGAGATGATGCTGCATGACAAAAATCCGTCCCATGTTTCTTTGGAGGAGGATGAGCTGTGGTTGAGCTTCCATGTTCTGGACTAGTTGGACAGGCGGGCTTGTTGTAGTACCCTACCTGTCAGCCTTCCCGGCGCCCCCTCAAGACAGGGGACCACTTTACGAATGTAATGTACAAAGAATGATAATTAATCTCAACAAAATATGCGTTTTGCCTATATCATATCCAAGAGAGGTTCTGATGATGCAATCTCTGACTAGTGACGGGTCCGAAGCTGTGAGCGGGGGATTCAAATGAAGTCGCAACAAGAAGGTCACAAAGAAGTTGATAGTCGGTGGGTTCGATTCGATTCATCCAGTAATGGGTGTGTGTGTAAATAAAATCGTAGAAAGTACATAAACGTGCTTATGCAGCACATACACCGCTTCCAGCAAAGTTGCAGCAAGCAAGCAAGCCTGCTACCAGACCTCCCACGATAGACGCGACGACCTATTCTCTGTAGACGAATCAATCCTCCACCACGAGCGCGCATCAGGGCTAGCCACTTAGCCACTGGACCGGCACCGCCAAAGCAGACAGACAGACAGACGAATCTCTTTACTCAAATAAGTTCTATCGACAATTGTTTCATCGATCCACTACCGAGCCGCGTGAGGGTAGAAGTTGCACGTGTAATCAAGTTTAGTTGATTAATGCTTCGTGGAATTTGCGTGTGTGTGTATGTGTGTGTGTTCATCTCAATTAAAACCGACAACCCGTCCATCATCTAACATGATCTCTATTAATTAGATGCCCCGACCTTCTTCAGTTCCTCTCTGTAGTTTGAAAAGATACATGTTAGTCCTTCTAAGCTTTATATAGGGTGTAAAATCGATGGGGAGAGTAGAGATATTGCGCCCATGGAAATTGACCGATAAGGGTTGATTTGGCTTGGCTTGGGGGAAAACGTACTTCAGTTGCTTGGAGAAGTCTTCGGCCGCATCGTCATCATCCCAGCTCTCCTCCCACAGGTGAGCGCTTGCGCCGTTGGCAGCAGATCCTTGTTCGGTTTCCTCCTGGGGCCAGTCTGCAAGTAAATAATAAAAGCTCCGAGGTTAGCGCAATCCGTCATCCGTAAGATTATTTCATTTTGCCGGCTGTCTGTCTGGGATGGAAGCGGAGCTAGCTCCCTCTTCTGCATGATAGGGAAGACCAGCGGCCTGGTTCATGGCTAACCTTCAACGGGGAAGTCCTCGAACTCGTCGTCTTCTTCCAGCACGGGGGGCTTCTGTTGCTGTGGCTGTTGGGTAGGCTCGGCCTTGGTGTCCTGGGTCGCGGTGGGATTCGACATGATGGGTGGGAGTGGGAGGGGGGAAAGGACAGCGGACAGGTGGCTTTAGGGAGGTGAAAGGAGGGGTCGTACGAAGGAATCAAAGAAGGAGAGGGGGAGGAGGAGAGGTGAGGAATGAGAGATGACAGATCAGAAGATTGAAAGTGGCGGTGGTAGGTGGTGTTGGTTGTTGGCAAGCAAGGTAAATGGAATGAGAGAGAGAGAGAGTCGCGGCGGCGGCGGAGGCGGAGACGCAGGCGATGGCGTCGGTTCAACTTTGGCTGGGCGGCGGCACTATCACTTACTTAGTAGACTAGTCCGCAGTCGGTCAAATCGACCTGACGACGTCAAGCTTTATTGTTGTTCCCCTTCAGTTCCCCTCCAGTCTTGCCGGACATACCGGACATGACCCCAGCTCCCATTTTGTCCAACATTTCCTTCCTCCCTCCCTCCCATTCGTGAGACATTCAAAACCGATCCCCTCTACCCGATGCGCTAAATCACTTGGTTCGTGATCTCTGAGAGCCTTGTTCGTGAGCAACTCCCGGTAATTTCCAGTCAGTTGCTCCGCCTCGCCGCCGCAAAGTGGACCGTGGGTTCGACGCTATTATTGTTTCTGGTCCCCGTTGCTTATAATCCCCAGGCCATCCGGCCTAGCCAGCCCTTGGGTCGGAGTCGCCTCTTTTTTTTTTCTACTTCCGTACAATTTGTTCGCCTTTGGACTATTGTTATTGATTCTCTTGCATCTCCCCCCACCTCTCTCTTTTTCTTGGGTTATGGTCCCGGAGTCTCGCTACGTCTTTGGTGCGTATCGAATGGGAGATTCGATCATCTTCCCATTCCATCTACGTCTGCTTCGGGGCCCTTCGGTTCTTGGTTAATTGATCGCCATACGTCTCGTGCACAACTTCCTTTCTAGTTTTATTTTCTATCTGCAGGCCTGGTTTTGACTGGGCTCCCTTCTTTTTGAATATGTTTCGCGTAGGCTCCTGGCTCTATGGCAAGAAGCCGGCCTCCACCCAGTCTCTGGACTCTTTGTCCGAACTGCGAGATCGTGAGTGAGCACAGAGGTCTTCTCAGCCCCGTCTAGAATGCGATTAATGCTGACAATCAATTATTTGGGACTTAAAGTTGAGGATGCTATGAGGGGTATGTCCAATTTTCCATGCGTGATCGAATCCCCGCTCTTCCGGGGTCAGTGCTAAAGGCGCTCTGCTGACTGACCGGTTGGGCAACCAGCTGCCACGTTAATCCTCAATGACGATGTGGACGGCGCCGAAGACGGTCTTTCCGAAGGAACCTCGTCGTTTCATAATGTGCGTATGCCTTTGGTTTGGACAAGTACCTGCCGATCTTCAAAGTCACTAGCTCTGTAGTGCCTCTGCTGATCTACAACTCGTGGCTGGTATATAGCTTGGCAGAGGTGTCGTTGCGTTCATCCGGGCCACACTGGGTTTTGAACAGGAGATCATGCGTCAGGGTGTGTAACCGGTGTGACCACTGTCCTGTTAGAGGTGTCCTTGATGACTGATGTTCTATAGCCTCGGAGCGACTCAATGCCGCCGAGACGAGTGCCGCCAACGACCAGCATCGCGCGCAACACAACTCTCATGCGCCCAATACGTACCACTCACAAATATATGCTCCCGGGACGGAATTTGCGCTCTGCCAGGCCATGGCGCAGCTCATGAGCGCTGTCGTCGGCGTCCTGAATGAAAGTCTCACGGAAAGTATCAAAGGATTCTATAAGCTCAGAAAGGCCTATATCACCCTAGACGCTATTCTTAAGATGGAGCAAAAATTCATCATGCAGGCGCGGAACTCCGGGGATACTACCTCTACGGAGAGTCTGCCACGGGGTGTTGGGCAGGGAGCGGGGCCCACGTCCGTTCCTGCATCGCCGGTAGAGCCTGGCGACCTGAAGAAGGGATTTTCGGATCTTTCAATTTCTGCGGACTCCGAAACATCAGCATCAGGTCCTTCTGATATGTTGAGCCATGATCCTGATTCGGACATTTTCAAGAACCAGATCGACGTGTTCGTCCACTCCGGCGCCAACTTCTGCTTCGGAATTCTCTTGCTTCTGATTTCCATGGTCCCGCCCGCGTTCAGTAAGCTTTTGGGAATCATTGGCTTCCACGGAGACAAGGAACGCGGTTTGAGGATGCTTTGGCAAGCCAGTAAATTTCACAACCTGATTGGTGCCCTCGCCGCTTTCTCCATTCTCGGCTATTCGAACGGCTTCGTCCGGTACTGCGATATCATGCCCGATCCCGTTCCTGGCGATGACGTGCAGGGATATCCCCAGGAACGGCTAGAGGCCTTGCTGGCCCTGATGCGGAAGCGCTTCCCGAAGAGTCAACTGTGGCTGCTGGAAGAGTCGAGGATGAACGGGGCAAACAAGAAATTAGATGTTGCCTTGGAGCTGCTCTGTGGAGAAGACCGCAGTCCGCTCAAGCAGGTCGAGGCGCTGCGGGTTTTCGAACGGAGTCTGAACGCCATGTATCTTCACAGATACGAGCTTTGTGCAGAGTCTTTCCTCGAGGTATGCTGTCCTGATTGACGTATAGAAGATCGTAATCAAACTGACCATTACAGTGCGTCGAACTCAACTCTTGGTCTCGATCTCTCTACTACTATATTGCAGGATCGGCCCACCTCAGCCTCTACCGAAACGTTGCTGGAACGGATGCCACCGCGGCAGCCAAACACGCTGAAAAGGCCGTGGAGTACTTCCGGAAGGCACCGCCATTGGCTGGCAAGAAGAAGTTCATGGCTCGACAGCTGCCGTTTGACGTCTTTGTTTCTCGCAAGATCGCCAAGTGGGAGGCTCGCGCCAAGGAGTGGAAGGTGCCTTTGGTGGATGCCGTGGGGGTGGATCCAATTGAAGAGATGATTTTCTTCTGGAATGGACACAGTCGTATGACGCAGGAACAGCTGGAAGAATCCATGACGAAGCTGGCGTGGTCCGAAAGCGATGCCAATAAGACATGGTCACGCGAAGGTACGGAAGAGAAGGCTATTCTGCAGCTCCTGCGTGCGGCCGTCTTCCGTGCCATGCGCCGGCACGATGAGGCGAAAGAGATCATTCGCACTAGCATCTTCAGCCAGGACAAGTCCCAATTTACTGGACATCTCAAGGATGACTGGATCTACCCGGTGGCACACTTCGAGATGGCGGCCAATCTGTGGATGGAACGGCCGACGTACAGTGCTATTCACGGAGGACCGGAGGCATCTAGCGAGAAACCAGCTGCTGGAAGCACCGAGAACGATATACAGCTGGAGCGCCTCCAAGTGCACGAATGTAAGGAGCACCTAGAGAAGGCGGCCAAGTGGGAGAGCTATGAACTAGACGCGCGCGTTGGGCTCAAAGTGACGGCCGCACTGGAGGCCGTTGAGAAATGGGAGAGTGCGCACGCGACAACATCCGGATGAGGATGGATGATTGATGTATTATGACGCTGTACATTTACCGCCAGCATTGGAACATTACGATAAGACAAGACATTAAAGGGATAGACGGAGCAATCAATGCATGTTTGTTGTTTTTTTTTTTTAACAAGGGTACCCTGACCACGTAGGAGCGACAATTATAGATACACATGACCCGCCCGTATCTCTCGCCTCGTCTAGACCATAGTAGACCTTTCTTGAATTCTTTGACCGACAGTTAGACTTTCTAGCGGTGGCGACGATCACCGTGGGTCGGATAAGTTTCCGGCCCTGTCACCTATCTGCCCCATCGGATGCATCCGTCCCTGACAAGCGAACTCTTTCTTGGCCGGGTAGAATTGCCCTGTCAGGCTGGGATACGTGCAGGATGTGACTCATGGTGCGTATAGGGCGATTGAAAAGGACCTGATCTATCCAGGAAATTGACGTCGATCCGGCAGACTATTCTACCGAATTGGCCGAATCAGCGTGCGGCAAATGCAAAGAAGGTCCTCCCGTTATCGGACGTCCGATGCTTATGACGCTGCTCTCCGGGTAAAACGGCTTCGGGCTTCGGTTCCACGCCAGTGAAGAACTGTGCCTTAAAGATACTGACATATCCTGCCCTGACTGAGAGGAGATTTGGATCTTTGACTCCACTTGTTGAATCATTCATTCATCCATTTGTCTCAGGTACTTGCTCAATCGTGTGGCGGGTTGAAACTAATCTCAAATATTCCTGTTGCATGTTCGGCAATTATCTTATCCCACCTTTACTTTTGCTTTTCGGAGATTCGGAGATTTATTTTACATCATTTTTATCGGGGACATTTTTTTTTTTTTTTTTTTTAATTAATTCCGTCCCTCTGATATCATTTTCTCCCCTCGCATATGCATAGTGACTGGAAGGATTCTATTTACCGTTTATCAACTCGGAATTAAGTCAATTGATTGAGTAAATCTATACTGCTTGCTGCTCTTCAAGATGTCGCGACACGAGCACTCCCGCTCATCGCTCTCATCCGAAGATGTCGAGTCCTCCGAAGACCACCACAGCGCATACGTGCACCCGGACGACCCGACTGCATTGGAGAAGCAAACCACCGCGGCATCAGGCATGTCGGCGCTCGAGAACCGTGCGCATTCGGTGATCTCGCGCATTCGCAGTCGCGAACCGGGGCAAACTGCCCGTTTCACGCATCCGTTGTCGCATACTAAGACCTCCGAGGACGTCATTGTCGACTTTGAAGGGCCGGATGATCCGTATAGGCCGATGAATTGGAGTTTTCGCAAGAAGGCGGTTACCACGATATTGTATGGATTGACTACTATGGGTATGTGCGGTTGCTGTTATACTTGTTTAAACCTCTTTAGGTGATATGGTGCTGACAGTGGGTGCGTGCGATAGGTGCGACTTGGGCTAGTTCGATGTATGCTTGCTCCTCTACCGTTTCCGCGGATCCTTGATCTAGTAATGTATATCCCAGGTACTGACAAAGCGCAGTTTCTCCACAGGCACCAAGCAAATCGATGCGGAGTTTGGCGTGGGAGAGGAAGTCGGGACATTGGGTACAACGCTGCTGTTGTTCGGTTTCGGTAGGTCTTCATCTATACCATCATTCGCTCTCTGCGCATAAACTGACCTAGTCAGGACTCGGTCCCCTCGTATGGGCACCTCTATCCGAAGTCTACGGACGCAAGCCCGCCGTACTCGCGCCCTACTTCATCGCCGCCATCTTCTCCTTCGGCACCGCCACAGCCAAAGACCTCCAAACTGTCATGCTGACCCGATTCTTCTGCGGCTTCTTCGGCTCCGCTCCCGTCACCAACACCGGCGGAGTCCTCAGCGACATCTGGACCGCGGAGCAACGCGGCGCCGCCATTGTCGGCTACGCCATGGCAGTCGTCGGTGGACCAGTACTAGGTCCGATTGTCGGCGGAGCCATCTGCCAAAGCTACCTCGGCTGGCGATGGACGGAATACATCACGGGAATCATGATGATGTTCTTCCTCGCGATGGACCTGATCTTCCTGGACGAAAGCTACCCGGCCGTTCTCCTCGTCTACAAAGCGCAACGCCTCCGCTTCGAAACCGGCAATTGGGCGCTCCACGCCCGCCACGAAGAATGGGACGTCACCTTCAAAGAACTCGGTAACAAGTACCTCATCCGGCCCTTCGCCCTCCTCACCACCCCAATCTGCTTCCTCGTCGCCATCTACGCCTCCTTCGTCTACGGCATCCTCTACCTCAGTCTGGCCTCCTTCCCCATCGAATTCCAAGAAGTCCGCGGCTGGAACCAGGTCGTCGGCGCCTTACCTTTCCTCGCGTACCTCGTCGGCATCCTCTTCGGCGCTTGCATCAACCTTTTCAACCAGAAATTCTATATAGCTCGCTTCAAAGCGAACAATAACTTCCCCGTCCCCGAAGCCCGTTTACCGCCGATGATGCTCGGCTCAATCGTCTTCGCCGCTGGCCTCTTCATCTTCGCCTGGACTAGTGATCCCCATATCCATTGGATCGCTCCCATCATTGGCGCTGTCTGCATGGGCTTCGGGTTCTTTACCATCTTCCAAGCCGCCCTGAATTACCTCATCGATACCTTCCAGAAGGTTTCTGCCAGTGCTGTCGCCGCGAACACATTCCTGAGAAGTTTGTTCGCGGGCTGTTTCCCCCTCTTCGCTAATATCATGTTTCATCGTTTGGGCGTGGATTGGGCCGCGAGTGTGTTGGGATTTGTGGCTGTTGCGTTGATTCCGATCCCTTATTTGTTTTATATCTATGGGAAGCGCATTAGGGCGAGGGGGAAGTGGTCCCGCGCTTCGGTTTACGGGTACTGATTTTATTTCTCTCCTTTGCTCGCTTCCTTCTTATACCCTTTGCGTTTCATATATAGCCCTCGATTATTATAGGCTTGTCTTTTCATGATTTGATGTGAAGACGGGCCGGGTTAAAAGTTCTGTTCCTGTTCACTGGGATTTATTTGTTGGTTGTCAGATTGTTGTTGTTTGAGATACCTCTGGTCTTTTTTTGTTGGTTTTGGCATGATACGCATAGCATGGCGGGGGGTATTGATAGATAGGAACTACTAGTACGTAATATCAATGATTAATGTCTAGGCTTAGTTGAATAGATGGATTCAGATATAGTTATCGTTTCTGCCTCCACAGCATATAATGTAGTCCACTCAGATCTGCCGCGGTTGTATAGATTCCCGTAATGTTATAAAAGATAGTGACGGTAATACCATTACAACGCCGAAGAGTGGAACCCGCATCCAGCATTTACTACAATGATGGCTGGGAATGCATCCAACTTCACCTCTTTCCATCAACTATACCGCCACACCATGCACCCCATCCAGAAACAACCAAGCAGGGCAGCATGTCTCGCTTGGTGAGCTCTTATTGTCCCATTCTTATTGTCATACTAACCTATCTGCTAGTCGCGCGCGCAAGATCCGATGCGATGGCCGCCACCCATGTAGCAGAGTAAGGCTCTTCTCAAGAATCCTACGATGCATTTCATGGAAGATATATAACTTTAAAACAGTGCTCTCATAAAGGATTGAGTTGTGTCTATCGTCCAAGCCGTCGCGGCGGATTCCGGCATCGTGCAGAGTCATCCACCCACCACAATATCGCTCCGCATCATTCGCCTCACGATCCCAATGTATTTCCTTCGGTAGCTCAGCAGAGTCTACCAGCCCCTACACAGAGACCATCTATCTCTGGCGAGGTGGTTGGAGATTATGATCTGTCGGATATAGCTCATCTACTCAATCCTTTTAGTGGGATCCGAAATCTAGATCTGGGCTCGATAGATGGGTCGGGTGAGGTGCTGGTGCCAGATGTTGAGGGTAATGTGTATGGGACTATAGGTTCTGCTCAGTCTTCACATTTGCGCGTATATGCGTCTGAGGAAGAGATGTTGGTTTCCAATACCGCGAATGTGACGTCTTGATTGACTGACGTTCGCAGACTCGACTCTTACTACATACATATTCACCCCTTCCTTCCGATTCTCCAACCCCCTCTGTCGGACCAAATCACTGATCGACCAGTAGTGGTTGAGGTTCCGAGCATTAGCACCGGAAGTATTGATAGATCTTCACTGCCGCATTGGCCTGCCTCGGCACTCACATTGGCTATCTCTGCTGTCCTGGTTTTGATACCACTTTCTCAAGATTCAGATGCATTTAGCGATTCTAGTGTTCAGTCGAGACGTTCATATGCACAGATGTATGCAGAAGCAGCGTTCAGTGAAGTCGACAAAGAGATGGATCGTACATGTCAAGTTTTACTTCCGAGACAAGCAATGGCCTCCATTAACCTTTCACAGCTGTCTCCTGTTCTAGCCCTTGTCCTGCTGAGCATTTACGAGTACTGCCAGAGAGGAAATGTATCTCGAATGCGGAGTCGCGCTAATCAAGTTGTTACGGCCGCTATGGATCTTGGCTTGCATTGTTTAGGTATCACAGCAATGGAGGCACCACGCCGCGCCTGGTGGAGTGCGGTGAGTTATTTCAGCTTTCCGATGTTTAGGGTTTCTGACAAGTTTTGCAGATGTTTGTGCTTTATCTATCATCTGTTGACCAACAAGTAGTGAGTCTCCTAGTATTAGGTAGCCTGAATGTTTCATATATCTAACTGCTCTCAGTCACCCATCATCACACTCGATGATCCCAGAATAACAACACCCTATCCTTCATTTAACACCACATTAGAGGTATTTGAGCTTCCATAGATGGGACTATTTTCCTAAGCAACTGTATTACTGACCCCTATCAGCCCTGGCCGCTGCTCCTACAGGCCGAAAAGACACTCATTACTGTTTGGCAAATTATGGACAATAACGAGGCCCATCCAGCGATGACCACAGTGTCATCCAACATGTCTGAGAAAATCCAGCAATTAGACTCACATATAGTCACTATGATGAGACAGTTGGAAGTCACGCCTTCCATCGAACAATTTCGGACAGGACCCGACGCACGTGCAGTACGGAATATGCTGCTGATTGCCCGACTCTTGATTCATCTGTATGGATATGACATGATAGACACTGCTGTCAACCTACTGACTGCTACTTCTAGAGCTCGCGTAAGACTTCATCGATACCGTGCATTCATGGACATACCCTTGTTCCTGAACAAGCATTGCAACATAGCCGCCATCCAGGACAAGGCAGAGCCAGCCCAACTACGTTCTCAACCGAGATTCGAGTCTTTCTTTCCATTTACTGAAGAACAGTCGTCGTCAATATGCCTCAAATCAGCACTTGCTATATCACGCGCCTTCGAAGATTTAGGCTCTCGCAGTTCTCGATATAAGCTATCAGCATCATCTCATATACTGCCATTTTTTGTCTGTGGCGCTATGCAGAGCTCTTATGTGTTGCTCATGACGTACTACAGACTTCGTGCAGCGCTGATCTCCGATCAAGTGTCGACCTATCGCCACCTTCTACATCAGCCCGAATCGGACACAGAAATACAAGACACCGAGAGGTTGCTGCGCGAACTTCGACAGGGCGTTGAGTCAATACTTGGTTCCATGGAATCGGCTAAAATGTTCGAGGGAGTAAGCGGTATAGGGCAGGAGATACAGGCGGCATATCATGCTGCCTTTTCGGCGAATACTTGACGTGCATTGCCGCGGCGAACCCTTGCTGTTTGATTGGGTAGCGAGGTGCGGTGATTGCCGGTCGGCGATGTAATAAATAGTATCGGTATTTGTATCAAAGACCGCGGTGGGGTTCGCACGATACGCGTAATATACGTTCTATGCTAATAACTCTGTTCCATTTTACATGAGCGGAAGTGAACCAGATCTATGAAACTGCTTGAGATACACCTCGATAAAATTCAGGGAAGATGATTTCCTCGAGCAAAATCCAAGCGATCACAATGTTTTCCAACACTGTCGACAAGCACCCAGGCAATCCTATCCCGACCAACCTACATCAGCGAATGGGCGACCCCGTAAGCAGACGAAACAAAATTCCCTGCTGGCATCACAACGTTAACTAGTTTCTATATAGGGCCCCCTCGGCATGTGTGGGTTTGCCACGACACTACTCACGCTCTCCCTAGCGATGATGCGATTCCGGGGTGTATCTGTGCAAGATGTCTTTATAGGGAACTTCTGTTTTGTCGGCTGCATCGCATTGTTGATATCTGCTCAGTGGGAGCTTGTTCGCGGAAACACCTTTTCCTATACGGTGCTCAGTGCATTTGGTCAGCCCATTCAACATCACCTACAGCAGCAGACGCAGTGTGGGAACTAATAGGCTGAAACAGGGCTCTTCTACGGCGGATACGGTGCCATCCTGTTACCCAGTCTAGGTATTGCAGAAGCCTACGGTGGTAAAACATCCGAGTACTACAATGCCATGGGGTTCTTTATATTGAGTAAACCGCCTTAACCCATTCATGATAGATGTACTAAACCAAGAATCTCAGTCTGGACCGTCTGCAATACGTTTTTCGTCATCGCCAGTCTCGCAATGTAGGTCTATCCTGGGGTATCTCTCAAAAATAATGGCTCACCCGCGAGTAGCAACGTCGTGTACTTTGCAATATTCGTCGCCATCGAGATCTGCTTCGGGCTGACCGCAGCGGCCAACTTCATTCAGGCAGACGGAGACGAAGAGTTGAGCCTGAAGGTCATGCAAGTAGCGGGGGCATTTGGTTTTGTGGCCGGATGTCTGGGCTTTTATGCCGTCGCGCATGGGCTTTGTCAGGAGACTATGCGGGTGAGGGTTCCGATGGGGGATACGTCGACGTTCTTTAAGAAGCTGTAAGTAGACATCATCAATGCAAGACAGTATGGTTAGCACCGTATATAAAGCAACTACTGCTATAGAACTATGCACACGAACAATTACCATCAAGCCCTTAAATCATATACACACTTAAAAATACCAACCATCAAACTCATATCAAGAAAGCAAAGCCCTACACCCTCTCACAAAATCCCCCTTTAAGTCCTCCAAATCCTCCAACCCACAACTAACCCTCAACAACCTCCTATCACACCCCTCATCACTCATCGCCCTCCACTCAATCAAGCTCTCCACATCTCCAAGACTCGTAGCATGTTGAAAAACCACCATCTTCCCAGGCAACCGTCTAGCCCACTCCTCCTTCTTCACCCAGATCGCAAACACAGCCCCAAACCCTCCACTCATCTGCCTCTTCAACCACCCACCATCCTCCTCCTCCTGCAACGAAGCATGCCTCACCCTCTCCACGACCCTACCAACAACCGACCCATCCCCCTCCCCAACCTCCCGAACCAACCACCTCACCAACCCCACCGCCGTCTCCGCCTGCCTCCTAACCCTCAACTCCAACGTCCTCAAAGACCTAACCCCCAACCAGCCCTCCAAACTCCCCATCACAGCCCCCAAAACCAACCTCTCCCTCTTCATCCTCTCCACCCACCCCCTTTCCACCGCCCCAGGACCAAAAACCAACACCCCACCCAACAAATCCGAATGCCCCCCAATATACTTCGTCGCACTATGCATTACGATATCCGCACCCAACGCGATCGGATCCTGCAAAGGCGGCGGCGCTAACGTCGCATCAACAGTCACCCACGCCCCTACAGACCTTGCGATCCCAGCATAATATGCTATGTTCCGCGCTTCGCCGGTGGGGTTCACGGGCGTTTCGACGTGGATGATATCGCCTGCCTCGGGGCGTATATTGTGCTCCAGGTCCTCGAGAGAATGCTTTTTCATCCCAGTAAGCTTACTCATTATGTCTATGACGGCGTGGACGCCGTGGTAGCCGTCGCCGATGAAAATGCGGCGGGGGTTCAGGTGTACGAGGATGGCGTGGAAGGCTGCTAGGCCGGTGGAGTAGGTGAGGACTGGGTGGGAGTTGAAGAGGCTGCGCAGGATGGTCTCGAAGCGGGCGGTGTTGGGCGTGGAGTAGCGGGCGTAGATGTGGGAGTCTTGGGGGGCGGTGGGCTATACGTGTATTATGATAGGGTTAGTGGTTAGGTTGGGTTTGAAGAGGAGGAGGAGGAGGTGGTGGTGGTGAAAAGGCGTAGGGAGATACGTACGTCTGTGTTGTCGTTCGGTGTTAGGGAGTCGGAATCGCGTGTGTAGCGATATGTGACGGCGACGTGCATGGCTGGGGCGATGGCGCGGTGAGGGGTGAAGGTGTCGTCGGCGTGGATGGCTTGGGTGGTCATGGCCATTGTTGGGAGGGAGGAGGGGAAGGTTGGTGGTGGTGAGGACATTGTTGCTGTGATTTTAGAAGCGTGGGTATGGAATGTCTTTCAGTTCTGATGAGTGGGGTTGTTGGTATTGATAGTTGCAGTCCTGATGAGAGTGCAGACCCTACCCTTCCTATATAGAAGGAAACTAGTATACTACATTTGAGTCGTGAGACTGGGGTTGTGTATAGAGCGGCGATAGAGATCCACTACCAAACGCCGCTCTGATCTTATCTTTCACACTCGCTTTCCTGTTCCTGAGTTGTTTGACTATTGGGACTTTTCTCTCTTTTGTATATTTTATACTGCTACTTGCCATTAATATTACGTCTAGAAAGCGAGCTGCAGTGAGAGTATTGCATTCATCTGAACAGAATTAATTGAAGTGACGTTAGCTGTGCTGCTATAGTATAGTGCGGTGATTGAAGTGGGTCTTTCTTTCTGATACTGGCTTGACCAATAAGAGTGAGCCCAAGTCACCGCAGCGCGGCATTTGCTCTTTTCATACAGTGGCGAACGCATATTGTAATCTTGTGACCGGGTATTGTGCGGCATATGGCATGTGTAGCAAAGGTGGCTCATTGCGACGTGCAGTCGATAGCCCTATGCCTTTGTCGGGGAATATTTATGTGGTGTGATAAAGACGATGCCTAGTCCAAGGACATAGTTGTAGTAAAAAATGAAGGCTTCGACACAGTTTCTATTACATTCTCTACCCTCTAAGACTAGTTGGGCGATTTCGGGACTAGTATCATGATGATGAGCCATGGTCAAAACAAGTAGCTTAAATTATCATATGAGCTTTTATAACCAAAAATCTAGATCACTAACACAGATCTAACTTCCAAAGAACAGACAACTTCAACATCAGCATCGACAAACATGGAAACAAAAAGGAATGTAGTTTGACAAAATTATATGCAATACAAAAAGAATCAGAAATAGTACATGTTAGAAACCAAAAGAATGCGTTTCAGTATTGATCCTCCACAATGAATGTAAACCTCACTTCTTGGCTGCCACAGCCCCCCATCTAGTAAATCTCTTAGCAAGCGTCATCGCCTTGCCCAGCGAACTCCAGCTGTTGCTCTTTGTCATAGTCATTCTCATGTCTTTGGTTGATTCTTCAGCCATGGTCGTTGCCATGCTGTTATTCAACTCCGGCTTGTGGTGCATTGTCATCACGGCCATCATTCCTAGGAACGTATGGTGCTCGAGAAGGTCCTCCAAGCGGACGCTGAAGCCTTCTTCTCCCAGGATCCAGACCAGTTGGGCGACATTCATGATGTCTCCGCCGAGATCGAAGAAAGATGCGTCGAGTTGGTATTGTGGGTTGTCAGTCCGACGGGGTAGCACCTGCTGCCAGGACCGGGTAAGGATATCTGAGTGAATTACAATCTCCGACATCTTCTGACTGTTTAGGTTGGACGAGAGGAAGGGTGAATCAGACGCTCTGGGTGCTTCACGAATGACCTGGCTCGGAAGGGAGCGGATGGTGGCAGGAGAGGCAAGTGGGACGCTGGGGTTGGCAATCAGACTCTGTACAGTCTCGCAAACCATGTTCAGAGCTTTAGCAATGAAGGTTGCTGGGATAGGTCCCTTGAGCGAGTATCCGATTGAGACGTCGAGCTTCTCTTGGCCACAGGACTTGGAAGCCAGCGTGAGGTCGGTGAAGTTGTCCAGAACACCAACGCCTCCCATCCGGTACGAATTGCCGTCCAGTTGCATCTGTCCTTCATACTCGACATTCTGATGGAACACGGAGGTGGTGAAGTATGTAGAGTCAGGCCAGTCGGTGCAGTTCCGGATAATCTCTCTGAATCCTAGCGACTCATAGGGCATGTTGGCAATCTGTTGGTCTTGAAGATAACGGAACAGGTCAAGGCCAGTCCAATGCTCCCTGAATTTCACCCTAATGGGAAGAATGTTGAGACAGGGCCCAACAGTGGTCTCAATACCAGGGACACTGGCATTACGGCCGTTGACAGTAAGCCCGAAGACCACGTCAGACTGGGCAGTCAGCTTCGCCAAAGTCACTGCCCATGCGGACTGCATAACGGTTGCGAGGGTGACGTTCCCTATAGCGGTGGAGGGGATCATGATGGTCTTCTTCTGCTCCGCGAATGCACCAATATGCATAAAGGTATTAGGCTGCGTGCGTCGAATGATATCCGTCATCTTGGAGCCCTTGAGGATCGTTGACCAGTGGTGATAGTGGGCCGGAGTGATGTTTCCAGGAAGCATCCGCATATAGTTCGAAAAGGAGAAGACTGGGGGTAGGGTGCTGCCCTCGTATCCCAGCTTGATTGCGTTCATGATTTTTGGCAGACAAACGCCGTCGAATTGAGCGTGCGACATCCTGATCAAGATGCGATGCTGGTCGCTCTTCTTTTTCTTGACAATGTAGAATTGCACATACTGCTCGCCTTGGCGTGGGTCCTGCTCGCGATCCCGTTTTTGCAAGCTGTTGGTGTACTCGTCCAGACTCTGCTCCGTCTCGTGCACGAAAATATCCGGTCGGATCTTTCTCAACACCACTTGGAAGAATTGTCCGCGGTGGCAGACGAAAACAGTACGAAGAATATCAAAAGCATCGACCACTCTCAAGAAGCTTTCTCTCAGACGGCGGAGGTCCAAGGGACCACTTCCATCGAGGAAGAAATAGTTTAGCATCCATCTGGATCCGAAGAGCGTTGCAGCGATCGACATGGACTGGAAGTCCGTTACAGGGAGAACATCAGCAATACCTCCTTTGAACACCCCTATCTTAGGGCAGATGACATCAAGCAGAGACATGGCGTCGAGCTGCATTGGCCGTAGCACCGAAATATCCTGTGGTGGCGTAGCATCTGGAACAGCATCATCAACCTCCAGAAGCTTTTCAATGTTATTTGCGCATTGAGTATCGGCGTTCGAGGTCGGACTGCTGCTCGGAGTAATCGTAGCCAGCATGTCCTCAAAGATCGGGTTGTTGAACACATCCGCCACTGTCATTTGCAGGCCCTCTTCTCGTGCGGCGCTGACCATCTTCATTGCTGTAATACTATCACCGCCTAGCTTGAAGAAGCTACTCCGGTATTGGATAGTGTCTGAAGACAGCCCTAATGTAGTCTTCCACAAATCCCAAAGACGCCTATCATTGTCACTTGAGCTTCTGCCATCGTCTGTCAAGGACGGTGTTGAATTTGCAAGATCCTTCTCGTCCAGGATGGGGTCCTCCTGGTATGAAGCCTCGACCATTTTGACGTTCGAGTATCTAGTCTTCTGATCAGGAAGGGGTATGGCAAGCTTGCCTTCCTTCAGCATCTGGCTGATAATCTCATTCACGCGGTCATCAATCAGCTTCTGCAAGACTTGGCTGTCAATCAGCTGGTCCAAGATAATGGGCTCCTTGTGGGTGTGTTGCGAACGGTTCCGCGGTTGCTTGTTGAGGAGGCTCAAGCTTGAAACCAGCTTGGATGGTTCCTCGATGAAGCATGTAAAGACCTTAGTAACACCCTCCGCTAGCTCCTTTGCTTGTGCTTCAGTAACTGCGTTGCTCCAGTATCTCAGCAAAACCCCCTCCCTGCCCTTGGTAGTCTCCACGTTTACAGTTACAGGGTACTAAAACAAACGTTAGCTTGCGTCTAAGCTTGAGACAGTAGCAACTCACTTCAGTCGGGTCATGGGCCTTTTTGGCTTCAAAGTCGAGCGGCAGCTTTGCACTGCCCTTGTTGGCAGATCTATTTTGGATGGAGAGAGTCGAGTTGAAGAGCGTCTCTCCATGCATCCCAAGCTCATGCTGAATCTGAGCCAGAGAACAATGTTGATATGGCACATTCCTGACAAAATCATCCTGGACCTTCTTGGCAATATCAAGAAGAGTCTGGCCAGGAGAAAACTTGACTCTGCAGCACAACATATTGATGAAGATACCGACTGCATCCTGGATTCCAGGAACAGGAGAATCACGGCCAGCAGAGGGATATCCGAAACAGACATCATCGGATCCCGTACAATTTTGTAGTACAATTGCCCAGGCGCAGAGTGTCAAATTAGCGAGTGTAACAGAATGATCCTCGCAGAATTTCTGCAACTCGGGGAAGCGCTTGAAAGAAATCATGCGCTCACCGAGTTGGTGGCTGCCACCCTTTTTGGAAGATACCAGCAGGTGACAAGGTCGTACGCCAGAAAGGTACTTCGCCCAGTGTGCCACAGCTTCTCCCTGGGATCGTTCCCTGACGTACTTGACATAGTCACTGAAACGTGGACCGGTTTCAGCAGAAAGCTGATCATTGTATGCAAGTGCGAGATCTCTGAGAATCAGATCAACCGATCCACCATCAATAATGGCATGATTCATCTCAATCTTGAACAGGACTCGCCCAGAAGTTGTTTTGCAGAGGGTAAGCTGATGGGCGAGCTTCATCGATCTCTCGGCATTGATATCGCGCAGCTTTATTTCTCTGAGTGTACCCATTGCATCCGACTCAGGGCACTGGAACTCAATAACCTCATCATCGAGTGACTTGACCACTACCTGGTCGAAGGATCCGCCTTTGTAATTGCTATCAATGAAAACAGACCGTAGGACAGGGTGTCTGCTGACAACCATGGACCATGCCTTTCGGAGTTTGCTTGTATCCACCTTGCTACCCTTGGAGTGGTGCACTTCGAAGATGACATGGAAGAGGTATTCCTCCGGATCTCGGAGCTGACTGAGAAGAATACCTTCTTGTACTGGGGAGCAGGGATAGACATCTTCAACCTGACCCCAGTTTTCGATTCCAATCTTGGGGAATGTTCTCTTGGCCATGTTGTTCAGACCTTCGTAAGTGATGGGGAGCAAGGGACAGTCACTGAGTGTTGGCTCAGGGGTGAAGCTGTCGAAACGAGACATATGCTGAAGCACTCGTTTGCACTCAGAGATCCAGCCCTTAATCTGCTGTTCTTTTTGCATGTGCTTATTGTAGGTGAACGACACCTGCAGCTTGTCTTTGATG